TATATATATATCAGGATTATCTACGGTAAATTTTGTTGAGCTGCACGTGATTTCAACTTCAGCAAAGTGTGAATTAGTCTCCTTCAGTAGGTTAATAAGGTGTATTTCCTGCTGTTGGTTAGCTCAAGCACAAAGAAGGATTGGAAGGCACTGCTTTTTGTGAAGTTCGGCTTGCTATTAACTCTTAAGTTTCAATGCCTTTGTTAGCATGTATATTCTCACCTCTACCGTTAAGTGGCACATCAAGCACCCTACTCCGTCACCCGAGTGATTACCGGCTGATGGGGCAGGGTGCTTAAATGGACACCGAGCAGCAGCGAAACGCTCCTAGAGGGAAAATTCAGCGAATATGCAAAATGCCACGAGGCGTGTTCTTTTGAGCTCTGTTTGCTATGCAAACGTTTGCGCGTAATCTACCACGTTAAGATAGAATAGAGATACGAAGGCTTGCTCAAGAGGTGTCCAAGCATGGTACAAAGAAGGTTACAAATACTTTAAAGAATATGTTCCATATTTAGCCATAGGTTCCCTTTCATTCACGCCACAGATGGTGTGCCGCCGTCCAGCGGTACATTTTTTTGAAACTGAACTATTTTCGGTTGGCTATCTACTATAAATCATCATAAAAATGTCAATGTTACATTCGCCATGCTTAAAGTGATCCGTGCCATACTGATTTAATCAAGTGTGGCTTGTGTCAGACAAACGACTTCTCCAAGGCCTAGACCACAATGATATAATAGTGTTTCGGGCTCTGCCTCCCAGCTAAGCAGAATACTTTGTTTTGTCTTATTCCGTTGCCGACGGATGTTCAATCATGCGAGATGTAGAACCATAGCTCTGTTCATATATGCCTATGATTTATTTAGCTCAAGCAGATCCAATTCGTATTACGTGCCGTTGGGTAGATGTGCTAGCCTTTTGATCAAAATCTATGTCAAAATAAAACGCTGACGTTGTACGCCTGATTGATCCAGTATAAGAATAGAAATAATACTAGTTATAATAAGATTCAGTGTATGTTGTTATCAACATTCAGATAGTTTAAATCCGATTTTCTCTAGGATCTTTTACAGTAAAGTTGCTCCTATTGTTTAACCGTCGGGCTTGATACCATACAGTATTCTTGAGGCCAAATGCCCCAAAATGCCTTATAAAGCCTGATAACTTGAACATACAAGGTAATTTCACGCTCATCAAGACGTAATTACATAATACGAACATATATATTATACTGCAGTAATGTCTATATGCATATATGTACAGAGTTTTCGATACTGCTTCTTTATAGTTGATATGGGAAGATGTGTGTCCATAAAGAAACAAGAGCAAATTCAATATGAAAGTTACAAAGTACAGTCCGCTCCTATTCATCCAGTAACAATACAATGTCTAGGATAGTACGTTGCGGTACATCTATACCTTCCGTGCTAAAACAGTCTATATAGATATAGATACACATAGGTGGAATCTGCATTAGTTCTTGTCCGGGCCTGAGAAGGGACATATTGCGCTTACTGCAGTCGTAGTTCCAAGAAAGGGGATTACCATCATAGGTAATTAGGGTGCCTATCTAAGTGCCTATCTTTTCATCGAATGAATTCCCTCTAATCCTAATCATAATTATTTCCGCTAATACATGTGTATGCGTGCATTTTGGATCGAAATAGCGATATGGAGAAAGTAGGGACGGTTAGTACATAAATGACTAGTCTGGTTAGTGTGCCGGAAGGCCTCGGAGGCTACTGATTGTTTTCGGTACCCTGGGAGAGGTGCGAAGAGAGCGATTCGTATCCTACGAGAAGACACCTGTGTAAGTGCGTGACTATGCAGAGTTTGTAACTTACGCTTCACGCCTCAAGGAAAACGTTTTAGCTGGACATAATTTGTAATTTATGCGCTACTTTGCCTAGAATTATGCACTGTGCGCGTCGAACAAATTAGAAGACATGGTACATTTAATTATGCACCCCTAGCATTGGAGTGCGTGTTGAGGTAGAAGGTCGGGGCCAAACGAGGTTGAAGTCAACTTTGCGAAACTGCGTTTGGATCGTAGGAGATCGTCGGAGAATCACATAATTCTGTGAAAAGCAAGCCTCATGGTTGGATCTGCTATATGGATTTATTTGCTGACAATGTCAAGATGCAATTGACTAGGGACCTATTCCAAATGCACCATAACGACAGGCAGCATATGTGTTAGGTATTTGGATACATATTGATTTATATACTGCCTACGAAATCACGGCGTGCCAAATTCTAACACGTGCAGATGGGAATGCCTCTGATGTGCGTGTAGAGCAGATGCCCGTCGGACTGCCTCGGTCGTGACAAGCTTTCGTAGGTAGTTACTGCCTTTGCTATTTTTTGTTTTTCGTTTGACTTTTACGTCCGGTACCGCTATTAGGCACGAGACAATTTTTTTTTTTTAAACAGTGCGACTATCGCAGTAAAGCTGTTGCTAATATATTAAGCATACATTTGCCCCAATTGTGTCGGATCATCTAACCGTGAATAAACGCGACTGGTATGCAGGCGATAACGATGATCACCCAGAGCAGGGCGCACGCAATCAGCGAATTGTGTTCAACTCGAAGCTGCATTGATGTGATCGGATGAACAACGGCCAGATATCGGTCGACTGACATAAGGACCAGCGTATAAATGCTCGCCAACGCACACACGTTGATGAAGTACTGCACCGTGCGGCACCACACGTCGCCGAATGGCCAATAGCCTGCAAAAGTCGTCAAAACGAAGTAGATGGATGTTAATTATATTGGACGGTAAGGCACTCGAATGGTTGATAGAGGAGCAGGGGATAGGCAAGGATAACAAAATCGACTATAGCGGAAACACCAACGTTAGCCGACTGCTAATGACAATATCCCAGTATACAATCATACTAAGGCTGTTATATTGATAATCGTTGAAAATAAAATCAGTTGACGTTTGACGATTTGACGCTGCAACAGCAGCAGCAGCAGCAGCAGTTAAACTGTAGTCTGTGCATACCTGTTTCCCCACGAACAAAGACGAGTTGGCGATCCGTATGGGGAAGCGCGCTGGGGGAGAGGCCATACGGTCGGACGTTCGTTGTTGATGGTCTATGGTATTGACCATAGGCGTAAAGCAAACTTGTCATGCATTGAAGTTCAACACTATAAAGCTGTGTTTGAATACAAAAGGTAAAGAGGCCGCAGCCAAATGGGAAGCATCCCAAGGAAGTGGCGTCCCCAAGCTTGGAATGGATGAGCTAGGAACTTCGTCGAACTATTAAAAATCAGATCTTTGCTGTCTGCTAAATAACAATCGCCGTACATATGAGCTCATCAGTAAAGTTAATTCTTTTAACTATCGCTTAAAAAATGCGTATCATCCTCTTACCAGTGACCCCGGTGAACTTAAATTTGATCATTTCTTAACTAGTTGGCTAAGATAATGCTTTTTTAGTATTTCTTAGAAATACTTTATTTTTTTATTACTCATTTATCTTTTGTGCATTTGTCCTAGAGCTCTGGCAGCGTTTCCATAAATAATCTTGCCGCTTAAGGCTTCTCGAAGTATATATCCGTGTACACCGCCTGCCTTTTTAGGGCATGGAAAGCCTCTTAACCACACGAGCTTAGATCGGGAGAATAAGAGTGTCGACGCCAATATTGGATATTCCTTTGTTCAGTTTTAAAAAGTGATTGAAATATGGCACTGATGTTTGGCGTTATCATCAAATAGCCAGCGTGTGGTGCCAAAAATCCAGAAATCGCCTGAGGAAATCGCTCATTTTCATCGAATATGTCACAGTAAGAAATGCCCCTGATTCACTTGACTACAAGTACTACCATTACTCGATACTGCCACCGAACTCAGTTTACGCTCAGGATGACGCCATTCTTTCGTCTGACCCCTCTCAGGTTTCACATTTTCAGGATTTGGGCTGTAATTCTGTAGCTCGTTACATGTGAAATCAAAGTTTTGGCCGAAAATGTCCCTAGACTTCAAGCTTTGCTTAAATCAAAGGCCTCCTCGATCGAGGCAATGTCTTTTTATCTTTCGGGTCCCGATATCTATTCTTCAGCGCTCTAATCTCCATTTTTAACGTTCGCCCTATTCACGTATTGCGTTCTCTCTTGGAGCACCCTTACCTAATGCCTTCACCCATTTTGCGCTCTGGCATTCACGAAACAAAAACTTAACCGCGGAGCGTTGATTTTCCAGGCTAAAAAAATGTTTTCTCTCTGAACTCGTTTCAGCTATAGTAAAGGCCACTAATTTTCACTCACACGTTTTTTTACCGTTTTTTTACGAGTCTTTACCAGCCTAATTTCTCTGCTAGCGGTGCGTAGTTTGAATGAATAGGTGACATTGATGGACTAGTCATTTCGGCTGAGGCGTCTCCAATAGAGCAAGGAGCCTATGCTCATATCGGCATCAATTGACTGCTAATAAATATCTGATAGGCACAGATTGAATACCATCTTTTACAGCACCTGCTTCTATCGGCAGGTGGACGCCAACTGGCAGATGCGAAGGGAGAGTCAGTCTTTATGAGAAATATTCTAAACCAAGTGGTCATCTGGCCGGGACCAATGGCCGTTTTGATGAAATCGGGAAACACGCTTCCAAAAGGAAAAACTCCCGAACGAATCTTAATAGCTCCTTCTGTCGCTTGTTCTTTATTTGTATGTTGACAAAACGTTTATCTACTTTGGTTTACATATGCGCGAATATGCTATTACCTACATTAAGTCATGAACAAGGAATTAGATCTGAACTAACGTTTACAGGGCACAGATATAAGACTGTTTCGTGTTACCTCAATTCAGCACTCATATGCTGTAAACAATGAAAGTTAATCATGTATTTATTCTGTACTAAAATGCATTATGTGTACAGAAAACGCTCGAATATGTTCATAGTGTATTGTAATACCGTCAGATATATATACAAGTGCAAACATTCAAGACTACCAACAATTATATAGGAGTACGCATTTGTCTAATGTGTTTCGGTCTTTCCGGAAGCTTTTCGGAATGCCTCGAAAATCCAAGCTTGTGAGAGCCAGACAGGAAAACACTTCTAAAAAACAGGGCTAGGTCTAAATTGATAGGTCATGGCCAAACTATCGTGGGAAGCAACAAATCCTTTCCTAATGGAAACGACTGTTCAGAATGTCAACCTGCTATTCGATGAACAACTGATAGGCCCTATCCGATGGAACCGCACGTCCTAAAAATTAGCGTTCATCAAAAGATGAAGCTTTACACAAAGATCTCGTACGGCAAAATGTAATTATTAATGTTGATACATTTAACTCTAGCCATTACATCCAATTACTAACAGCCCTTCGGATGATTCTAGTTAGACGCAAAAGTAGACATGCTCTAGGTACGCACATAATTTCTGATTAAGAATATGTAATTATATTAAGGATTCGATGCGCTACGTGTAGACTGTGATGGGACGTTACACTGTACGCTGCTCCATCCCGAGGGGTGTGTGGGGCACACAAGGCCTCGGCATGGATTATCATCGCTTGTGATACGATTCCATACGTTGACGTTCAGCGATATGCCGTTCTGCACACCCGCTGCAGACGGCAAGTAACATCTTGTGAAAAAAAATACACGCTTATTATTGTTAAATTAGCCGATAGATTCTAAGATCCAACAAAGTGGCCCTATACACAAATTTAGCAGGTGTTTCTAGAAAAGTTACTTACTGTTACACCGTAATAGAAAAAATTATGCCTATTTGCCCAACCAAAAAGACATTGATTTGCTTGCTGATCCGTCAAACGTGTCTGAGACTGAATCCTTTTCCGTAGCGTTCACCTTCACCCCAACTTATTTTGGACAGTCAATAATTAATTAAGCACTCTTTTAAAATGCCCAGACACTGAAAGACATCTAGATAGTTCGGTGAGAGAGTTTGGGGAGTGGCTTTTAAAGCCAGTTATTTAAGGCAGCGACCATCACGTGTAGCACAAAGAATTCTTTCTTGTTCTTTGAACATTGTTCTGTTAAAATTAGATAAGGGTAGCAGTAGTAGTATCAGGAAAATGCACATATGACCGGGTTTCTAGTAGTACTCAGTTTAGATGGTGCTATATATCTATTTGTATATACGTGTACCATCAGGCAACGATATCAATTGTATAACAATTGTGTAACGGCACTGTATTTGTCATTGTACGTACACTTAACGCACTGACTTGCCGCTAATAGGAGTAGCTGTGGATTGTCGGTATGGATCATTTTGAATGTAAGTGGACTTCCGCGATACTTTGCCCAAGAACCTCTGGGGGAAACGTATTTGCTCAACTAAAATGGGTGTATATATATGTATATAACTACTTATAAGATTATTATACGTTACAATACAGTTGTTGTGAAATTAAACAGGAGACGATTTTTTAAGTAGAAAGGAGCCCGCTATAGGACTCAGGCTAGCTAACCGGTAACGTAAAATAGCCATAGTAGCGGCAATAGAGTCGCACTCGTTGACGGGTATTTGTGCTAAAATACTACAGTTATTATTATCCTATTTGGTTCGTTACACTCACATGATGCATATCCAATGGGATGTTCTCTTTTTACGTGAAGTTTCTTTTTATGCTCTGTTCTTTCATGTTAGCGACGGCATATATGCTTGATAACCTACTCCATTATGCATCCTCGGAGTATCAGTAAGTGATGGCATCACTTCACAATTGGTGTCAACTTGAGTAGCATTTTATTTCATTGGCTGCCATCTGGCGGCCAGGAACATCATTTCGATAAAAGCATTCTATGTTTCTTTGATATAAGAAAATCTAGGTAAATGTACCCTTTGTCACCAGTGTTCGGCGTTTGCAATAGCTATTTCTGTAGGTAAACTGCCGGTGGCGTATTCGTAGCCTTGCTAACATTTCGCTAATAGCGACGACGTCTTTTTAAAGACCGCACTTATTTGCTATGCTAAACATTTAACTATGTAGACGAGTTCTCACCATCTACCTATGCATCTGCCGTATAAACCTAGCACGCACCATGTTTGAGGACGCGAATCGTATTGGTGCTAGCCACACTATCATTTTCCGTCGTCACCACAGCCGTCGGCTCTTGTGTATGTGTGTCTATATGTGTTTGTGACGTAGTCGCATTATATCTTATCTATTATCTCAGCTGTAAAGGGGTACGTTTTGATTATATATTCGTTGCTGTCGATTGTCCATGCGCGTATTGTCATACCTTCGCGTTTTCGCTGTATCCAGTCCAGTGGGTTTTTTCGTACTACCCACAAAGAGCTTTTCATACAGCCATCCATTTCCTTCCTGTTTTAAGTGTCAGGCCTCCGGTGTTCGACTGTAATGCACGAAATGCAGCGACAGACCGAGCTGTTTGAAAAGAAAGGGAGCGGAACGTTTGCGACGTTGTTGGAAATTGAGTATTCGGCACACACCTCGCCCGACCCCCAGGAGGTCACTGGGCCGCAGCCACTATGCCATAGCCGCTAGCATCGCGAGCGTTACAGCATAAGCGTTGCCGCTTTAATATCGTGGTCCCCTTCGACATTCTACCTCTTTTTGCACGATCTCTTAAGGCGACCAGTGGACAATAAGCCGCCTATTATTGTTTCATTTCTCATAGAGCGGTGAGGCACGTGACGTGTACGCGAAGGCGCCGAGGTTCTAGGGTTGTAGTAAGTTCAACGCAGAAACTGAACGCTTGTATACATTGTATTTACACCCCCGTGAGC